ATCGGCCTACGACCGAGACGGTCCAATACCCTTAATGAAATGATGTTTCAATCTAAAATGAGATTTTTAAAAAAATATCATTCATTTAAAAATTATTAAATAATATAATAATTATAAAAGTTATAAAAATGTAATTTAATCATTTTCGTATATATATAAAACAAAATTAATTTTCCATTCAATGAATTCCTCTACCTGCAATCAGATATTTAAATACAAATGATTAAAAAATTCTAATAATAAATATTTAGTACGTGTTTGCAAAAAATGGGAATGTGTGTGTTCTTTTTTTATAATATTATTCTAAAAAAAATAAAAAAATCTAAATAAATGACACCTTTTCATAGGTGTTTCTTCCCTAACACGTCACTCTTTTTCCGTTCAGACTAAAGTGTTCCAAAGTACGATAAATTGGTAAAATATTCTTTTTTTATATATATATATTTTTCTTTTTGAGAGATGGTACATTTTTCTAAAGAAGTAGTCGAAAATTCGAAACCATACATGTTGATTTATATAGAGTAAAATATTTATTTATATTAAACTTCTCAGTTTGACACACACAATTGGAAGATGTTTCGGGAAGAATTTTGGGATGCATCATTTTTCTCTTTTTTAAGTACTTCCATCTTTATACATAATTTTTTAAATTTATTCTTGATATTTTTAATGACTTTCATTTAATTGTCGGTTATATTTATCTATTTTTAAAATAATTTTATTTAATTATTAATTTTAAAATATAATACATATTTTAATTAATTAGTAAAATATTTTTCTTTTATTAAGAGTAGTTATTAGAATAGAGACAATAATGGATAGGATTTAGATATGGTATTATAATATCCTTTCTTATATTTGCCTTTAAAAATAATATATGTATTTAATCCCATATTTACATGAATAATAATTTTAATCCTTATTCCTGTATTCACTAGATATTTGTATACTGATACTCGCTCTTATGATCCACATTTTACTATATAATATTAATTTGTTAGGTTTTTAATATTATAAAAGTCTAACATAACAATTTTTATAAATAAATATTACAAAAAATTTAATTCTTGAAAATAAATTTTTAAAAAATTAACATAATAAAAGTTATAATTAAATTTTCTATATCATAATCATGTGTTAATAATATTCTTCAAAATTTTATGCATAAATTAGTTAAATTAATATTATAGACTAAACTATATATTATAATTAAAAAAAATAAATACAAGTTAAATAAATAAATAAATTATTATTAAAATTATATTAATATATATGAGGAGGGTACAAATGATACCGATGTAACTTTTACTAAATATACAACCGCTCAATAACTTTATATTAAATATGAATTTTGTAAATCCAATCATTGAATTATAATATCATATCAATTTATATATTTATATCAAATTTTGTTAAAATTGAACAATAACTTGAAGGTAGTCAAAGTGTTTATATTTTATTATATTTTAAAATGTATATATTACGTTAATTTTGTTTTATAAGAATGAAGTATCAAATTATCTTGGATTAATATAAAATTTTGTATATATGATCTAAGAGTAAAAAACTTTTAATTTAACGGTTGAATTTATAAAATTCATAATTAATATAAAATGATGTATCAAATCATCCGTTGAATTTAAAATTTTTAATCATAGATCAAACCTATAAATTTTTTAAAAAATTTGAAAATGATTTGATAATTTATTTCATTAATTCAATTCAATGTTTAAAATGATTTTATGATTTTTCCTCAATTTTAATTAATAAATAATTTTCAAATTTTTTAAAATTTTATAAACTTGATCTATGAATTATAGTACCCTTACTTGCATCCATACACTAAATTTTGTGGGTCTATTATCTATCTCATATTCATCCTCGTATAAATGAGTATTTACCTGCTCTGTATGCAGATATTTTTGCGGATGCCTATAGGGACTAGGTTCATTTTGTCCTTATATTAGAGTAGGTAAATATATACATAGATTTTTTTTCTTCAAATATTAATTAATTAGATAAAAATAATTAAATAAAAATAAAAAAGTTTAATTAATAAATATTTTTAAATTATTGACAAATTTAATGTTCTTAACTAACTTAAAAATAATTTTCATAAAGAATATAATTTGATTAAAAAATCTTATAATTAAGGATAGAAATATTAATATTTTATAAAAATAAAAAATTTCTTAATAAATGAAACCTTTTCTAATTTTTATAGTTACTATAGTATTTTAGCATGCACATTCTACAAGTTAAATATTTATTATATATAATTAAAATTTATAATAAATTATATATAAAAATAAATATTATATCT